ATCGTCCAAATCTCATCAGTTCCCGATCATGTTCTCATAAATACGAATTTAATGTAGTTTTTTCTATTAGCTTGAAATGATAATTTTGAACAATTAAACTTCGCTTATACTCACTGTTTAACGAAGTGCTTTCAATTATTTGATATTTCAATTATTTGACCTTTAATTATTTCATCGTCTGTAATACATTAGATAGAGATTTTTTATTTCAACAAAGCTTTTGAAAAACTTTCCTATTCCATAATAGCTAATACAAGCCTTTTTTATTAATAACTAATTACATACAGCAACGAAATAAACGATTAAATATAAATTCCTTTGTTTTTACCGACATAATCCAGATTCTTTTAAACATTTTCCGTCATCACAATCGCTCTCGTCTTCACATGACTCGCCAAGTTCATATATTAATTCATTCTCCACATTTCCACTAAAATTTTAATTTAAGAATGAAATTAGATAAAGCATGTACGGTTTATTCAGTATTCAATACAGTAAGGATGAGAAAAAGAAATTGTCTAAAATGGAGAGTTGTTGAGACATAGGTCAAAGTTACAAAATAACAAGTTTAATGACAAACGATAATTATCGATATAAATGTTTTGGAACACTTTGCTTTGATGATAATATTTAGGCTTACGGCGGCCAATAGTGGCAAACGAATAGGAATGCATTACTGGGCCTTTTGTTGTATGGTGCAATACCACAGCCAATTTCTTGCGTTTTACCCCAAATCATCTAAAAATAAATGTTTGCAAATAAAATTTACAGAAAAAATAAAAAAAGAGATAGAGTTCAAATGTCATCCGATGCAAATTATATGAAAAAAGAAACCTGTTAATTCAATTTTATCTTTCATGCAAACATATTTTTTTTTAATTCCTAGAATTGTTTTAGGTGCAAGCAGATATCAGAGCTTAAGAAATAGGCAAATAATTTTTCACGTCCTACTTGCTGAGAATAAAGAAGAAAAGCCTAATTAATCTTGCAATCAAAAAATATTCTTAACTAAATGACGAACAGAGCTATTGTAAATTCTACCTGATATTTGGTTCATTTTTTTTGTTAGCTTATTTTCTATAAAATTATAATTTTTTAGATACGACTATTTAGGAATTAGGAAAGGATGGGAAAGATTTTTTAACAAAAACTTTGAAAAATAGAAAAAAAAGGACGCAATTGAAATATTCAAATTTCAACGAAAATTTTCCTGCCTGTGTGAAATAAAAAGCACCCTGATAGAAAATATTGGAAGTATATTTATTTGTTGGATTATCCTCGTACCATTTCTCAACTTCTGATGACCAGTTATTACAGGCAACCGTACAAACGATATTTGTTAGATCTGAAAACGATATTTCATTTATCCTTCCTGATGATTCACTCTTCATTACTACTATTACATCATTTGATTCTCAATATATCACTTATCAGATTTTTTTTATCAGATATATTTTTTTCGTCATTTAACAGATATTTGCTTATCAGATTTACATGCACACTAATGATATGATCCTATCAGAGAACTTCATATAGCATAAATATGTGTAAATTTACTTTTCATACTAGTAGCTGTTCCTGACCGGTAGATAAATATGTTTTCACCGATTCTTTCTCTTTCATTTTCTTTCAAAAATTTAGTTTCAGAACGATCAGCCTTTCTCTGTGCGGAATCTTCTAGTTCACTATTCCATCTCTGAATAAGTTAATAAATGACAACAGATACCAATGCTAATGCTAAGTAATTCGATAGCTTTTACAATATGGAAAAGGAAATGAAAAGATTAATTGTTCGAACAATTTTTTGGTACATTTTTACCATTTCGGGCATATTCTCTCCATGTGGCATAAATATGCCATCTTTGTTTTTAAGCTCACCACGAATCGCTCTCGAGCGCGCATCATTATGGCAGCGAAGGATAATTTCACGTTGCTCTTCCGTCATTCGACTTTTCACAACTGCAATATTTCAACTAAATTATCATTAACTCAGATGTCAAAAGTTTCTTAATTGCCATCAAATACTACATTTTCAAGATCATTTGCAATTTATAGCCTCGGGAATTATGGCATGCAATAAAATCTTCATTAAACATACCAACGATAATTGCGGCAAATACAATGAAAAGTAACATTCTGTTGGATTTTACGGTAGAATTTATGCTGCTTCCTTTCGAAATATATTT